TTATGTTCTGGTCAGCCACCACCGGTGTGCTTTAATAAAGGCTTGATTCGATTATACGTCAGTGGTTTGGAAGTCAGTTTATGAAACCCTGGGACAAAGCTTTAACTATAACAATATCAGTCTTGATCCTTTTTATACTTAGGTATTGAGGAACACAGAACTCAGTTCATTTGAAACAGACCCTTCCAAATGACCATTACACCTCTGAACTTAATTTTCCCGTGGTTAATATTTCACTTTGGATGGATTTGTTGGAGAAGTATTTTAACAGCTAACCACTCAATGAAGTGCCCCCCACCACAGCTTTCTTCTTCAGTTTTATTTTCTCCCAGGAACATCTTGAGAACCATACTGCTTTTTGCACAGTTTTTTCTCTCTGCAAGAGTTGGCCAGGGAAAAGCCACATGTCCCACCTGGCACCACAGATGTATCTTTCTTTGATTGTATAAGTCAGATGCAGATCTGCAAATACTGCACAGAGTTGGTTGTGTGAGACAAAAATTGTGTTTATGGAACCTGGTCACATTTTTTTAGAGTATCATTGTAGAGAACAGCACTAGCTGAGACATTGGAACCTATGATACTTTAAAGGACGAAGTTGGGGCTGGACAAGGTGGATTCCATGCCTGTAATCCTAGCTGCTTGGAAGGCTGAGGCAGAAGGATCGCCAGTTCAAAGACAGCTTCAGCAACTTAGTGCATCTTAGCAAGTCCCTGACTCAAAATAAAATATTAAAAAAGGGCTAGAGATGTGGCTCGGTGGTTAAGCGCCCCTGGGTTCAATCCCTGGTGAAGGAGAAGGGGAAGGAGGAGGAGGAAGTTGGACTCCTTAATCCTTTGATTCAAGTCCTCTTCAAAACAGTTGGACTAATTATATATTTCCCACTAAGATTAAGGGAAGGGGTTTATAATTTTATCAAAATGTTAGTAGTTCTTTATGTTTTCATAGCACCCTATAGTTTTCAAGAGAAGTCTATTCCCATTCACTCTTTGGATTATCCCTCCTCCAGTCCTTCTGAGACAGAAAGGTGAGCAGGGTTCCCGTGGTGGATGGTGGAATGCCTCCATTCTTGGGAGCATTTCACATCCCCTCAGCCGTACACATTTCTGGAGGGCTCCACCTCTGTCAGGTATGTGCAGGAAAGTGAGGGCTCCCTTGGAAACAGATGTCAAGACAGGGAACAGATCCAAGTGTGTGCAAGGCCATTTGTCCCCTCATTCACTTATCCACTCATTAATTCACTCCTTCATTTATTTTTGAAACAAACAGTTCCTAAGCCTACACTAGTGTCTCCCACGTGACAATATGCATAATGTTTAAGAGTGGAATGCTGGAACAGGAGATTTACACACTGGTCCTGATGCTTATTAACCTTGAGTTTTCCAAAAAATTTTATCTGGGCAGTTGGGAGATTACATAGTCATTCGTTATCATCGGTTCTGTGGGGGAAAAAGAAACCAGATTAGCTTGTGGTTGCAGATGGTGTCAGGCTAGATCAGCCAAGCCTCCCGGCTGTCCATGTGTCTGACACAAAGATTCACTTAGAAAAGTGGCGTTTCAGTGTTGCTAACTCCAGGAAAGACTTGGGTAGGGGAGATGTCAGTATTAGGATGCGCCCTTTCACTTCTTCCGGCATGACTGGCTGCCCGGCAGGTCCCCATCAGGAGGTGTGTTCTAATCAGGTGATCCAGCTGAACCCTGTAGGGCAGATTCCCAAGCAGGAAGGCTTCAATTCAAACCTTACTCTCTCTCTCACTACTTGGGCATACCCTCAAACAGCTTCCTTAATTTTCCTTAGCCTCAGCTTTTGTTTTGTTTTGTTTTGTTTATTTCATTTGTAAGATAGGTACATATTATCCACCCCGTAGGGTTATCGAAGAATCAAAGGAGGTAGTGCCAACTAAGGACCCCTCCCATTTGGGTAAATACTGTGATTTCTGGAACCATGTTTATACTCAGGCATTTGCTAGATGCTGTGCTACAGGGATCAACATGGGTCCTACCTCCAGAGCACTTTTCATCTACCAGGGTAGGGCCTTTCGACAAACAGCTATGTATTCATTACAATTCTGAGAAGTGTTGGAAAGGCGCAGACACAGTCCTGTGGAAGGGGAAGTGGACAACAGCTTTATCTGTGGACTGGGGAAGGGCTTCCTTGGTACCAGAAGGTTCCATGGGAGCCTCTCCAGGGGAAAAGGAGGAGGCCTAAGCTGGCTGTTTATTATGGGATGAAAGTGATTTTGCAAACCAGTTTTAAAAGGATGAATTATTCATTAAATTAAGCTGGGGATAAAAGGTTAGCATTCAGGAGGAAATCTCATTCATGCCATGCTCCAATTTTCAGGTAGAATAAACTACTAAATGTAAAAAAGTAAATTCATAAAACAATTAGAAGAAATTATATTAAATATTATTTTTACCAAATTGGGAATTTCTACTACTTAGGGGTTGAATGTATACTAGAAAAGCTTGTGTGTTTCTGCTATTAAAAAGCTCATATTTCTGAAGATCCAAAGGTATTATAAATAAAACACAAGTAAATGATCAATTGCAAAACTATTTGTAAAACAGACAACAGAGGGTTGATGTCCTTAAGACATAAAGAGCTCTCGTTAATCAGTAAGAACAACAAGTGTCTGCATGATCTCAGTGAGAGTAGGGACATTGTCCTTTTTAGATTTTTATCCCTAGTATATTCTCCAAAAGAATGAATGAATGAATGAAGCCATCAATCATGATGGAAAATTGGGCAAAGTACACAGGCAGTCTAAGAAAAGACACGCAGGTGGCTAATTCCCATGTGAAAATGTGAAGTGACCAAAATGAAAATAAGAAGACCATTGAAATTTCACTTCCAATCATCAAATGGGCTCATTTTGGAAACCATGACAGGACCCAATGTGGGTGAGAATTCAGGACACCAGCATCGGTTACCGCTGGCGGAGCGTATGCGTGTTTCCACTCTTGAGTAATCTGGAAGTGTGTTCTAGAAGTATTGCTTTTGGGTTTAGAACAGTTACTTTGACCCAACTATTCTACTTGTTGGAATGAGTCCCACAGGAAAAAATCAGAGGTTTTGCAGAGATGGTCGTGATCTATTTATCAAACTCGGACTACAGATGAGTATATGGGCATGATCCTCATCTGTAAAAATGCATACACAGATGTACTATACCTAGAAAAGAGAGGGAAAGATTTTATGTGACAATAACATTATTAACGGGTAGTGAGACTCTAAGCAATTTTAGTTTCCTGTATGAGGTTTATTCTTTTCCCCTTTTATTTTCTACTGAATGAGCCTTCATGGCTTGGCAAATTAAAAAATAAATAAGATGATTTTTATAAAAGAGTGATTCTACCTAATGAATGGGAACACGAAACTAGCATTGGGTAGGGATTTAAATTCAGCCCAACTAGTTTGAGAGGGCAGTTTGCCATTGTATCAAAAGACTAGAAAAATGCAAGAGTTTCCTGTCTGGACAACTGGGATGACATATATCATCTTCAAGTAACAGATTACAGACTTCAATGTTGATGGGTTTCGTGGGCATATTTATATTCTAGGTTTCCAGAAAAGAGTACACAGAAAATAACAAAGGTAGTAAAAGAAATTAAGGACTCCTCGTGAGTTCCTACAGTTATCACTCTCTTGTCAAGAAGATGGGCTACGAAACTGCCAAGTCCAAACATGTGCCCTCTTGTTGGTGTGCACACTTGGGCAAAGCCCAGGGACTTTTCTCACTCTACATAAATATTAGTAATGCATTAAATAAATGGGGGAGGGCTGGCATGCAGAAAGTTTTCTAATGTCCCAGGACATATAAGTAGACATTCTGGGCCATTAAAAAAAATATCCTAGGACATTTCAAAGTCAAAGCCATATATAAGATGGCAGGATGGTCATGCCAAGCGCCTTTAGTATAGCTTCACTTGGAATCCTGGGTGCGATCCACGGGCCTGTGTATCGTGGGCTTAGACACAGGGCCTCCCTCAGAGGTCATGAAGCCAGTGTTTTAATGTCACATCACACTTAGAAATTCAAAACAGCATCACTCCCTTCCCCCAAGGGGTGGTTAGAGAATTACTCTGCAGATTCTGGGACCCACAAGGTAGAGGAGGAGGAGGAGAACAAGCTGCCTGTGGACCCGGCACTGACCACTGCCCACACTTTGCCAGTTCATTTAGCCCAATCCTCACCCTGCACATCTTTAACTGAAGCATTTTTTAAAAATCTCAAATGTCGTGTCACCCATGAATACTTCATTTCTCACACATTTCACCCATAAACACACTCATCTGTAATAGAAAAAGGACACTTTTATTTAGACACCCTGCAATTACGCCGCCTAACAAAATCAGCAAGTCCCTTAACCTCTCACCTAATGTGCAGACCACGTCTTCATTTTTCTCAGTTGTCTCAAGATTTCTCTTTTACAGTTGGTTGGTTTGAGTCAAAAAGTTTCAGATATCACACTGTTCGCCTCTTTAAAAATGTTCTAGACCGTGAGTCACTCAACGGGCTGGCTGCCCATCTTTGCACCTCAACATGCAACACAAGGAGACCACAGAATCACTTCATTATTCCTCCTCCTCTTCATCTTCCTCCTCATCTGGTCACTTTCAGCAAAGCCCAGTTGCAGAGTCTGATCGTCTTATGTATCAGATCCCAGCTCTGAATAATATCTCTTGTTTTCCAAAAATTAATTCCGACTCAGCGTCCCTATGTTTTCCACCAGTGAGGATTGTTAATTTACCTCGAGATGGTGCTGCAGCATCTCCACCTGGACTTGGAGGAAGAATCCCCAAAACGGGGCTGGGGCAGTGAATCATGGGGCCAGGGCTCTGCCTGTGGCCCATTTGAAGGACCCTTGGTGTGGAAATCAGAGTCGGGGATTACCCGCGTCAGGTGCATTGACCCATGCCTCCGCATTTGACTTCCTATTCTCATGGGGCTCTGTGATTTACCACCAGAAATAACTGATGTGTCTGTTCTCACACAGATAATCGCTTACCAGCCGTATGGGAAGTCTGTGGACTGGTGGGCCTATGGCGTGCTGCTGTATGAAATGCTGGCTGGCCAGGTAACGTGGACCACGGCCTCCTGTTTGTTTGTTGTGTCCCCTGTGACCGCTTCAGCTCCGGGCACTGATGGAGGGCCTGACGGTGGAGTGCCCTGGTGTGGGTCTGACTTCCCTACACGAGTGAATTCCCCCTTGAGAGTGTGTTCGGTGCACGTGGAAATGATCTTCTATCTCCTGATAACAGCCTGGGGTGCAGACCGTATGGTTTCCCATCACGCCCAAAGCACCCTGCACGTTGATGACAGCACGGGCCACTGTAAGTTTCCAGTATCTCCCCACGAAGGTCGGGTTAGGGTTCCCCGCAAGTTTATCTGCACAGATGGCCCCACTGGGGCCCACATGCCTAACTAGTGTTGTTATTTAAGGAAGAGGAAGAATTTGACGGCTCCTCCCATCCCCCCCCGACTCCCACTTGGCATTCCACAGTATCTGCACAAGAATCCAGCGAGGTTGAACTTCCAGTTTAGCAGAGGCCAAGGAGACCTCTCTCAGGGTGTGGCTTGTATTAGAGAACCAAGCACAGTGTCGCCGAAGGTGACACTTTCTGTCCTAAGGTGATACTTTCTGATGTGATGTTTTTCATGACAGTGGCTAGAGAAAGAGCTTTCCAGCAGCAAGAATAGCAAGTGCAAAGGCCCTGAGGTGGGAGTGTGTGGCTGTGTTGAAAGGCAGGGGAGCCACCAGTGTGGTGAGAGCAGGGAGCTAGTGGAAGCAGGAGGCTGAGGTTGGAGAAGAAATCCAAATTGATATGTGAGCAAGGAGGTCATTGCTAGGCCACCCTGGAGTGGAAAGCCACTGACGTCTCCTCCATACCTCTGTCATTTTGTCCCAAATCTCTTAGGTACTGATGTAGTCTTTAGATATTGAGAGATATAAGGTACAGGCCTACATTTGCTCATTCTTTTTCAAGGGTGTGAAGACTTGATTGACATCAAAGGAGTGGCTTGTTTATTTGTTTAGATTTTCCCCCTCAATCAAAGCTTGTTCTTAGGCCAAATTTCTTTGAGAACAGAAAAAAAAAATGCCAGTTATACATACACAACCACCGTCCATCCGTGAGACAGCAGTGCAAATACAAGCCATCTGCACCTGGAATTCCTTCTCCTCTAAAATTTGGACAATAAAATTTGACCCTGAATTACCAGTCTCCGGGAGCCACACTGTCCATGAAGGCACAAGAGGCCAAGTTCCCGTCCTTGATCCCATTTGAGCGTTCGACCTTTGAGCCCAGAAAACAAACCCTGCTTTCATTAAGAGTCTCATTTGCAAAGGACAAGTGAAGCCAGCAGAGCGGAACCCTAGGCTGGCTGCCAAGGGCACTCCACAGGCCGTAACGTGAGTCAACTCTTGGCCCACAGGAGGGAGTTCCAGATCGCAGTGCTGCAGCCGAGCTCTACCCCTCAGCCCCACGCCTGCCTGCCTTCTCCTCCAGGCCTTCCTGGGGCCTCATTTTCTAGGGGAGAACTCAGGGAGTACCCCACCCAGAAGGAGGGCCCCTTTGGGGAACACAATGAAGTTCTGCCTGCCTCAAAGTCCTCCTTTGAAGGGGTCCTGGCCTGGCCCACGCCTCCTGCTCCCCACACCTAGTGGTTCCCTAAACCTGTGGTGTGTTTCCATTATTTCCCTTCCCAGACTCAGAGATAATTAGCCTGCCGTGTGCGCATCCCTTGAAGTTCTTCATAATCTCTATCGAAAATGGTGATTTTTTTTCTTTTTCTTTTTTTTTTCTTTTCTTTTTCTTTTGCAAAAATGACACCTCATCTCGCCTTCGGTGCAGAGGCAGGCCCAGATAACAGCCTTTGTTCTCCAAGTCCTCACCTCTCCCGCTGCAAACGGGTAGTGTTCAGGGACCCTCCATCAGCCTCCTTGCAGATTGCTCAATGCAAATTCAAGTGAATTTCTGGTTTGTAATTCAGTCCAGAAAAGATGATGAAAGTTCCTCGGGTGTAGCCCCCCCGGCACCTCAGACCTGCGGGAACCTCAGAGACCTGGCAAAGAGAATTAGATGCAGCCATTGGAAAGGAAGATTCATGATGGAGTTGTTGGCAGGGCTGTGGTTGAAATTTGTTCTCTTTCACCACAGAGGGCTGAAGAGGAGCAGGAAAAAAAAATAGTTTATTGCAAATTTCTTCTCATTTGGTTTATTTATTGTCAGCAGCCAAGGGGGCCGTTAAGTATAAACAGCCTCGGTCTTTATTCAGTTCCTGGGTTGCTTGACAAATAGGATTGCTTTAGGGGCATGAGCAGGGCCTGCCCAGCCCTCTAGCAGGCACACAGCTGCTCCCAGTGTCCACAGCATTCGTGGTAAAGGGTCAGCCCTCTCCTCTGCAGGTCCTTCTCTACCCAAGTTACTGACGCTGTCTTCACTCCTGATGCATCAATGATGGGTATTTTATCTCAGTAATTGGAACTTCAGCCCAAATGGTCCCTGGGTGCTCGCCTAGCCCCCGTCCCAGGTCCTCAGGGATCTGCAAATAAATAAGGGAGGGCTCCAACCACCACTACTAAGAAGTGATTCAGGAATCCCTTCGGGGAAAACCGTCCCCCCTCACTTGTCTGTCTGAAGCTCACAGGTCACACATTTCTAAAGCAGGGCGAGGGGCACTGCCCATCCAGGAAACTCACCAAACCCCAGACTTGTTAGGAGGGAGCCTAGCTGGGAACCCTGAGTTCAGATGTATAGAAGTTAAAAAAGAGCCATGAGAATGGGCTCAAGAGGGGACAGAGGCAACCTAAAATGGTCACATTCAAAGTCCCTGGGCAACACACTTTCCCACATGGTCCCCAGGCTAAGTAGCTGGCATTAGGAAGAGAAAAGGAACATAATGGCAGCTTGTCACCACTGACCTGCCTTCCACCACAAGAGAGTAGGCTGTTGCCTGTCAGAAGGCTCCTGGGGTGACCTGGAGACTTACCAAGAGCAGGAACAGGTTCACATCCTTCGAGGTACAATCCCACAGCTGGGATATCATTCTCAGGAGGCGATTCAGAGGAGGAAAAAAGTGATCTGCAGGGAGGAGTTTATAGCAGCGTTAGTTATTAGAGCACAGCGCTGGAAGCAGTTGTAAATGTGCCCGTGGACAAATGAATTGGTCTTTGTGACATATCGCCTGGGTGGCACTCAACTCGGAACAGGAACACTGGTGGCTACGGAGAAGATGTGTTTGCAGCAGTGAAAAAAACAAAGAACTTCAGGTCATGCATCACGATTTGAAAATAATATAAGAGAGTCTAAGAGTCCAGGCAGGTTTTGCACTTTGAATATTTAGACGAGGAGAATGGAGGTGTTGCTTTCGTGGACTTCCCCTCCCCCTCATCTTACATAATTTCAACTTAACGTAGAGCTCCGGGAAGCTTTTCTGATTGCAATGGCCATGACGACTAGACACCAAATATTTTTGGTCCGCTCCCACTCTGGCACACAGTAGGGTGTATTCCTGGCTCTCCAGTAATTGAGTGGGGCATGGCTCTGGCCGAGGAGCTCTGAGGGGAAGTGTGCCTGGGAGGGTGCTGAGTGCTGACGGAAGACACAGAGCTCCTGTTCCTGTCCCTGCCATGCAGACCAAGATGGCGGCCACTCCATCAGGGCGGGGCCTTGAATGACCGCGTCAGCAGAGCCCTGGGCGACCCCCAGTCGGCATGCAACATTGGCAAGAAATAAAATGTGTTGTCTGAGGTTTTGGAGAAATTCCAAGTGTCTGTTGCCCCAGCAGAGCCCAGCCTGGCCTCACGGACCAGGGAGGCATGGTTAAGATGCAAGTGGCCGCCACCCTGAAACAAGCCAGGGACAAAAGGGCACTCATCAGAGGACCCCACTGCATGGCGCCAAGAGCAGTCTTCACACATCTCAGGCCCTGGGGGACAGCCCCCTCTTCATTTTCCTTCACCATCCAGCTCCTGGGTCCGTGTGGGCAGGACAGTGCTTATGGTGGCCGAGACTCACTGGTCAGGACACCTGTGTTAGGATCCCAGCTGTTCCACAGCAGCTCTGTGGCCCTGGCCAAAGCACGGAGCTGAACTGCAGTGATCTCCCTGTCCTTGGGGCTTCTGGTCCGAGGATTCAGTGAGCGGAGCCCACAGAGCTCTCCTCAGGTGCTGGACATTTAGAAAGAGCCCAAGAGGGCAGTGTTACTGTCACATCATTGCCGCTCTGCCCCACAAGTCCATCCTGCCCCTGTTTTACCACCAGTTTACAGTCACAGTGGGCCAAGAACTTGAGGGGTAGAGGCGTGACCTGGAGTATGGTGACAGGAAAAGCCCTCATCCTTGGGGACCCACCAAGGGTGAATCTTGAGGCTCCATCCCAGGCATGTTGGCTTGGTTCTAGTTTAGGAATCCTGCTGCAAATGTCCAGCCTGAGGGGCCTCTGGGGATCCTTCCAGCTGAGACTGAAGATTCACACCAAGTTGAGCAGCTTTCTTTACTGGAGGCCCTAGGGCTCAGAAATGTCCACGTTAGTGCAGGTCTCCCGCCTGGGCCCTCTGACCCAGGACCTAGGGTGCACTCTTTGGAGTGTGTCAGGATTCTGGTGACCTGACCCAACAGGGGACAGAGAAGGCTTGATGGTAAGCGTTCTCCCTTGACTCGCAGTGGACAGAACCCAGTTCCTCACACAGCAGCTTCCATTTCAGAAATCAGCATAGGTGGGGACAGCTCACTGGCAAAGCGGGTTCCCATGCCACGAAGCAATCAAGCAGGCGAGGTAGACTCTGCACCGAACATGAGGACTCCTGGAGGGCCACCGCGTGTCTCTGGGCGCTGTTCCTTTAGGACTTGGGCTGGGGTTGTCTGTGTCGCGTTTCTGCTGCTAGGACTTGAGCATCCCCAGGGGGGCTGGTTGGATCTTGCTGGTGCCTCTGTCACTTGACCACCCTTGCCAGCTCCGTGGGTGTGCAACCTGGGCAGCCACACCAAGCCTGAGCTCGGAAGAGCTGCGAGTTTGGTTGGATGCTTTGCCATCACCATCTGGAAATTCTTCATAGTTTTTAATAAAGGGTCCAAGACCTGCAAATTACGTAGCTGATCCTGACCAGAGAGCCTAGTGGGCCATGTTGTGAGATGTGGACTGGCGATCCAGAAACAGAGCCCCACCCCGCTCACCTCCAGGGGACCACTGACACCATACAGCATGTGCCCACCCACCCAGGGCTCCGTGCTCATGGAGGGGTTTAGCTCATAGCCCAGAGCAGAACTCACACCTTGTTTGAGTTACGAAAATCTCCACCAAAACTTGGCCACTTCTGGACCACGTGTTGGGGAAGGTGAGGGGTCATGTGGATATCACGAGAGGCACTGAGAAAAAGCAGGGTGCATGATGTCAGGCCAAGATGATGCGGTGACGCCGTGGACAGCAGACCTGGCTGTCACTGTAGCTCTGAGGCCAAGAACAGCCCTCCCCCATCCCTGGCCTGGCCTGGCCTGCTCTGCCCTCTGGGGATGGAGGTGACACATGCCCCTGCTGGCACAAGTTGCTCCCTGCAGCTGGACTGCCCATCTGGCCTGCCTGTGGGCCCCTGGGTGCTGTGTTCCCTCCTCCGGTGGCAACACGCATGCCATGGCAGGCTGCCCCTGCCCACTCTTATTCACGGGCAGGTTTAATTTGAGCTCTCCTCACCCACCGACATGTTTCCACCACATAAGACATTCTCTACAGCATGCACTGACAACCAGAAAGGAGGCTTATTTATTTACATTTCTAGACAAAAACACAATCAAGTGTCACCAGTCATCCAACCCTCACTTGCCCATACCTGACCCCAAAGGCAGAGACCCTTATGACCCAGCATCTGTCCGTGGCTCCTGTGACCTGACCCACACTCGGCTCCTGGCCAGGGCTCTCTACAGGGGTGCCGCCCCCAGCTCTGCCTTCTCTATGCTAAGCTCAAGGTGACCTGAGCCAAGGAGGATCCTGAAGGAATTTCCCATGAGCCCATTCCTGCCGTGTGCAGCCCGCCAGGGTGACAGATCATTGGATGGGAGCCCAGATGTGCTGGAGGAAAAGGCTCCGAGGGCAGGTGGCTCCGCCTCTGCTCCTGGAGAAGTCTCCCAGCCTCTCCCAAGAGGCTCTGCGGCCTCACCGACCACCGCCAGGTTTCCTTCCTTTGCTCTTAGTGCAGCACACAGTGCCAGGTGCTGTAGACTCCCCAAAAACCTGTCGTAGAAAACCCCACTGTGGAACGGGTAAGCCACTTGCCTGTCCACCCAGCTGGGAAGCAGTGGAGCTGGAGTTCTGGCCCAGATCTGCCCAACTTCAGAGCCACAGTGTTGCCCGGTGCCACGTCACCTACCTTCCTCAGCGTGGGATTGTAAACTCAGGAGAACAGGCAGGAGAGGTGTCCTTGGAGGAGGCTAAGCTCCATTGCTGCCACCGTGCGGGTGCCCGTGCCCCCCAGACAGCTCCATGTTGGGTCAGGAGGCCCCTTGGTGAGCTCCTGGGCCAGGGGACATGCTCCTTGCCCCGTTCTGAAGTCTCCTGCCCCCGACTGAAGGTATGAGGCATTCTCTACCCTCTCACCTTCTGCACACAAAGCCATCTGTAATCTGGCTTGATCGTAATTAGATTTTTAGCACATAATTGCAAGATTAATGGATTAATTATAATTTGTTTGCAAATCATTAAAAGCATTCCTCAAAAAACATGTTCACTACAGATTGTTTGGGGTTGCTCGGGGCAGGATAATTAAAGGGACAGAGTTAAAAATGAAAAGCACAGGACGGACAGCCTAATTAAAGATAATCAAATAAACCCCCAAGTTAGCTGAGCTGACTCCGCCGCCTGCTCTGTTTCTCTGTGCCGAGTCGGATCTCCAGGCACCGTGTGAATGAATCACTTCTCCTGAGTGTTGGCCCATGTTTCTCTTCCGGAACAGCCTCCATTTGATGGTGAGGATGAAGATGAGCTGTTCCAGTCGATCATGGAGCACAACGTCTCCTATCCCAAGTCCTTGTCCAAAGAGGCCGTCTCTATCTGCAAAGGGGTAAGTGGATTTGGGACCCTTTAGTGACCGTGGACCCGGAGGACAGACCTGGCTGTGCCTTTCCCAGGCTTCTGTGAGGGATGCCGGCAAGAGTATGGGCACACCACTGCTGTTGGCTACCGAGGGCTAGCACTTGGTGACATGCAGGGCATGGAGGGACATGTCGAGGACAGAAGGAACTCAAATCCCAACACTTCCTGGGCCTCAGCTGTGTCATCTCCCCCTATTGTACTTCTGTCTCCAATCCAGCTCTTACAGCCATGGGGTGGGGGTAGCCAGAATCCGCCGCAGGCCCTTGGAAGGCATTAGGTCTCTCCTCTTGCCTCCCTCAGGATGAGCGAGTTCTTTCTGTCTCCCCACCCCCTCAGTACTGGGGACTGAACCCAGGCACACACCGCAACTGAGCTACATCCCAGCCCTCTTTAGTTATTTTTTAATTTAATTTAATTGAGACAGGCTCTTACTAAGTGGCCGAGACTGGCCTTGACCTTGCTGTCCTCCTGCCTCAGCCTCCTGAGAAGCTGGGATTTAGGTGTGTGTCACTACACCTGGCTTTGTTTCTCTCTCTCTTTCTTTTCTTTTTTGAGATATGACAAACTTACAGAAACAGGCACAAATCATCAGCCTACAGATCCACGAGCTGTCACAATGCATATACCCATGTAAGCACACCCAGGCTGAGAAACAGAACACTGGAAGCCCCTCCTGTCCCACTTTCCAGGTGCTCTCCACCCCAGGGGTCCAGCGTCCCCTCTCCTGACCACGGTGCAGCTTCACCTCGTGGGTCTTGAACTTGGCGCAGACGGGATCCTGCACCATGTGCAAGGGGATGGTGCCTTTGGCTCAGCACTGGGTTGTAGCTTCGGCCACACTGCTGTGTGGCTGTGTTCTGCTTCCCTGCCCTGGTCTTTGTGTGGACTCACTGTAGTTATTCACCCTCCCCCCACCTGTGGGGCACTTGGGTTGTTTCCCTTTGGCTTAAGGCTGTTACAAACGGACCAGCTGCGAACCCCCTGGATCCTGTGTTCTGATGAATACTTGAGCTCCTCCCTATCAGGAAGTGCCCGGGGCTGGAATCCTTGGTCAGGGCTTGGCTAATGGTCAAGTGTTGGGTCACAGCACCATTTTCAGATTTAGTGAGAAGGGTTGCAACACACTCTTAACATCTCTGGTTCCTTCACTCACTCACAAAGTGTTGATCCTGCGCATCTTCCCCGGGCAGGGCAGGTGGCAGAGATGCCAGCGCAGGGCGATCGAGCTCCTGCCCAAGGAGCTCGGCTCAGCGTTGCCCCTGCATTCTGCCACAGGCACCTTGAAATTCAATAGTCGCCTCCTTGCCGTGGTCTGCATTTTTCTAACCCAGGGGTCTTGGATCCTGGTTTGGTCCAGGCATGAAGAGGCATCTGAAGCTCGTTACAGCATGCTGTGTGGTGCTCGGCTGGTCTCCGTGCACACCAGTTCTGGTGACAGTGTCCCTTTTTACCAAATACACATGTAGAACGGCAGGCCTAGGACAGGTACTGCACCAAGAGGCCTGTTTGAATTCCTCTCATTCCCTTTCCATGGATCCAGACTGCTTCCCCCTGTCCTTACTGTGACCGTCACTCTAAAAAGGCCATACTTACCCAACGACAGCTCTGTGCTCTGTGGTAGGCCTCCGGGACTGCCCAGGCACCTGCACCACTGGGCGGGAGGCAGAGCCAGGCAAAGGGACGTGTGTCTCCAGGAAGCCACTGTCACCCACCTTCTCTTTTTCTCTGCAGCTGATGACCAAGCACCCAGCCAAGCGGCTGGGCTGTGGGCCTGAGGGGGAGAGGGATGTGAGAGAGCACGCCTTCTTCCGCAGGATCGACTGGGAAAAGCTGGAGAACAGGGAGATCCAGCCGCCCTTCAAGCCCAAAGTGGTGAGTCCAGAAAAGCAGCCCATGTCTGGGGTCCGACTCCCAGAGTCAGGGCGTGACCCACCCGAGAGAGCAGATGGGTGTCCCCTGGCCTCGGCCGCGGGAGGAAAATGGCCAGCGACCACCTGTGCTGCCCTGTGGTCTGAGAGGCCAGGAGTCCTGCTGCTTTGCACAGGAAGGATGGACGAGGGGAAGCTCAGTGCTCCTCACCCTCAATAGGGCAGCTGCAGAGCACCCAGACCCATGGAGAGCCAGGGCAGTCTTCTCTGGGAACTGGACTGTGGGGACACCCGTGGCCGGCAGAGCTGTGCTTCCTGCCCTGGGTCCTCAGCAGGACTCAGGTCTTGATCTGTCTCCAGCTTTCCTGAGTCTGTCTTGCCCTGGTAGGCTCCTGAAGTATCTTAATCTTCATCAACTCATAAGCAGGGCCTGGTGCAATTCCCATGTCACCCACTGTGTCCCCAACAAGGAGTGCATGGCAACTGCCGGTTCTGACATCACCAACATTGTTCAGATCCTGCCTGTGTGATACCCACTTTCCATTTATTTAATAGTACTATGTAGCAGACCCTGTTGTCCATGCTTTTTTTTTTTAAAAGAGAGAGTGAGAGAGGAGAGAGAGAGAGAGAGAGAGAGAGAGAGAGAGAGAATTTTTAATATTTATTTTCTAGTTCTCGGCGGACACAACATCTTTGTTGGTATGTGGTGCTGAGGATCGAACCTGGGCCGCACGCATGCCAGACGGGCGCGCTACTGCCTGAGCCACATCCCCAGCCCCTTGTCCATGCTTTATGAACATGAATTCATTTAATCCTCCCAGCACCCACTGTGAGATGGACATTATGGTCCCCTGTATGCAGTTGAGAAAACTGAGGCACAGAGAGGTTGTGTAACTTGCTGAGGACACACGGCTGGTAGAACAGAGTCTATACCCTTTCCCCCAATACCAGTACTCCATCTCAGTGGCAGTCCTACAGCCCGTTCTAATGGCTGATAGCAGCCAGTGCTGCCTTTCTTAATTTTTGAACTCTAGGGAGAAACAGGATCTTTAAGATGCCAACCTCCTCACTCACCCACATGCCACCTTGCAGTGCCTGCTTTTCCCTCCATCCCCTTTCTAAGGGCTGATGGGGCGGCACCTCCTGACTCTGCCATGTCTTGGCCAGCTCTGGACTATTGCCTCTAGTGCTTTTCTCCCAGAACTACAAGGAGAGCTGCTGTAGTCCACAATGAGCATCCGGAACATCTGGTTCAGCCCAGATCTGCCTCCAGTGGGTGCCCCATGCGCAGGCTGAGGGGACCCCTAGGGTGGCGGAGTTACTGACTGGGTAACCACATCTTTGTTCTCAGCATAGCAACTTCCACAACAAAAGTGCCTCTGTGTGCTCCGCTTTAAGAATAGAGCCCCCTGGACTTTCTTTTTCTAAGACATTTTTAGCACAGGCTGAAGCAAAACCAAAATTAATCAGGTCAGTTGACTTCCTCCTGCATCATTGTTTCAAACAAGCCCTCCTGTGTCTGCCGCCACCACCTTCTCTGCAGCCTGCTGTGGACGCCAGGCGCTCTGCAGATCCTCTTCTTCAGGGTTTAAAACCCCGTGTAAGGTTTGGGTAGGGGGATGAGCTGGGCACAGATGGCTCCGCAGGGAATTCTGCTGGGGACTTCTTCACCTGCCTCTGCCTTCCATGTTTATTTTTCTTCTTAAATTAAAATGCAAAAAGGAGGCAATAGCGTCTTAAGCACAGCTCATTTCTTTATAGAAGCAGCATAGAGACACCCAGGGCAGAATGCAATGACCTGTCAATCACTTTCTGGAAGGAGATGAGGCACCACAAAGCCAACCGTGAAGCACACTGTCTTTCCTCTATTTGTTCCCACCTTGATTTCAGAAGAAACGATCTTTTCAGCCTCCCACTTTCCACGGCATTCTGACCTAAAGTCGTACGCGGGGAAAGTCAGAGGTGATTTAGCTCAGGCGCCCAACAATGGGAGCTGCTCCCTTTGGGCCACTGAGGTCAGGGGAAGCAAAGTGGTGGTTTCGACGGCGGGCAGCTGAGGCTGGAGAGCTGCTGTTGGTTTTCTTGTTTGCTTATTTAAGTGCAAATAAGGTGGCAGAAGGGAGGCCCCTGGGACACACAGATTCCCAGGCTAGACCAAAGCCAGCAGCATCAGAGAACATCAAGGCCAGAGAGCTAAGTGGGGGTGCTCTGGTCCCCAGGAGGACAGCGGACAGCTGCTGAACACCTGGCTTTCTCCCAGCTCCTGGCACCAGGCCACACGCCCACAGCAGAGTCGGCCTCTTAATCTCCGGTGAGGGGCATTTCCCTGAAAGGGCACCTGGGACGTGGCACTGTACTGGAGTGATCACCATGTCAAGGACAGCTCCAGTGGTTGGAGAGGACATCGTTGACCCGAGGAAGCAACTTCATTCCAAGCTGCAGATGCTCTGGCTGAGCACCTGCGGCAGGCGAGAGCTGGCCACAGGCAAAGTGACCCTGGTTTGTGGTTTCCCAGCTTCCTGCTAAAGAGTTTCCTGGCCCAGGCCTAACCAAAGAGTCCAGTTTACAGAATAAATGCAGAACAGAGCATTTTCTAAGAGATGGTTCTGTTATGTCAAAGAGGGAAGCAGCAGCCCAAGCCTCCGGCCCCCACTGCTGAGGAAGGCAACAGGCCTCTGGCCTGCCCACGCACTGACCTGGTCCCAGAGGGTGCCCAGGAGCCTTCTGGACCCTCCTGACACAGCTCGTCCATTTTGGTGAAGCCAGACTAGCAATCTCTACTTTCCCTGAGATTCGCAGGATTAGGGAGGGTTTGCTGTTGTCTGTGCAGGACCGCTCCCGGCCCCATGGCATGAGCCTCTGCCTGTTGCAGAATACCAGCCGCAGGACTTGAAGTACTCATGGTTATTTGCTGGGTGCTTCTGGAAACCAAATTTATATTTGTAGAATCACGAGGCTATCGTCTTTGTATTTATTTATTTATTCATTTTTGCAATACTGGGGATTGAACCCAGGAAAGCTCTACCACTGAGCCTTCTCTATTGTTTATTTTGAGACAGAGTCTCAGTAAATTGCCCAGGCTGGCCTCTTATGCTCATCCTGCTCCAGCTCCTGAGCAGCTGTGATTATAGGTGGGTACCACCAAGGAAAGACTATTCCAGAATCGCTGACTCCCCTAAGGAGTCTGGAAGGATTATATCACTGGTCAGCCTCAGAGCTTACCTGGAAGTATCAGGGTTCCCATGGTGTGTGATCTTTTTATCGTCTTTCTGACGGCCAAAGTGACATTGGCAAAGTTAATCTTTAGACGGAAGTGTCTTGCAAACTCTGAGATCCTGCCACAAAGGACACTTCGTAGTGTTGGGGTCCATCAGCAGGCTCCTCACAGGACTTTCCATCGCCCAGTGACATGGCTTCAGCTCAGCCATGACCTGGGCTCTACATAAGTTCACACATAAAGGAAAGAGTTCTGGGCGTCAGATGTAGGGGACTATGGCCAACTCACCTGAGGTGTCTGGAGGCTCAGAGGTGAGGGTAGAACCTATTGTACCAGCCAAAATGGCAAGAGTCCAGTCCTGGACAGAGCCTTGTCTTTGTCCAAAGCACCACCATGTGCCATTGTGAAGGAAAATGATTTTCTGGAAGATGGGACCATCAGGTAGCAGGGCAGAGCCTCCGTGTACTGGTTTATTTTGCAAAACAAAAGCTAAGACATGCTGGAGAGGAAGCAGACACATGTGCAAGGCAGGCTGGCCCAGTGATCTCATGGACACAATGTGAGGACCCTGCTGCACAGACAGAAATGTCAGCTCAGCATTGGCCTGACTTTTGGTGTAGAACACCGAGCAGTGGCCCGTCACTGTTCAGAAGACGCCATCTAAGAAGATGCTTTTTTTTTTAGTGTAAAAGCGATGTCACCTCTGAAAAGCTTAATCTTCAGTTACAGGGGAAGAAATAAGATGTCCCCTGCATCCCCCTGGCATCAAGCAGGCAAGGGGGTGACCGGCCAGCTTGGCCCACCTGAAACCTGCCCAAGAAAGACTTCCCTTTCCTTCGACATTGCCTGAACAATGAATGCTCCAGTATTCTGATCAGCATTGCTTTGACTTTTGCAGGCTTTTATCCTGATTTATTATTCATGTGGAGAAACTGACTGAGACCAGCCTTCAGATCTCTCTTCCTCCTGCTTGTCACAAAGAGCAGTTTACACAAATACCGGAAATGAAAAGTTAATTGATTTTTTTCTTCTCTTTTGAATCTGGTCCATTGGTACCAGGGAGTAGAATAGCTAGTTCACAGGCAGGCCGAAACAGCTGGCACACTTTAATAGTTATTGGAGAGAGAGAAAAATTAATCCATAAAGTTAACACCAAGAAATAGCCCAGAGTTGACAGGTAGGCAGAGCACTTTAGAAATGGGCCTGTCTTTCCTAAGTGACTTTTCTTGGGAAATCACTGTAATTATTCTATCAAAAAGACATGGAAAAGAATAGAAGAACTTTCATCAGGACATTGTCATCCTTGCAGCAAGAGCCAAAGAGAATAAAAAAAAAAAACACACATGGAGATAAAGCGTAGGTGCCACTATGGTGAGAAGGCACAGTCCTGAGTGACCCTGTCACCACAAACCTCTGCATTTCACAATGGCATTCACTTGTAGAGAGAGTTCAAAGATGGTCTAATTATCAGGATTGATGCAGTGATCCTTTTCATTGTTTAAAAATGATTTTTAAATAATTTCTCATTTCAGACTTGTAGAAAAGTTGGGAAAATATTGTAAAGAATTTCTGCTTTCCCTTTACCTAGATTCCCTAAGTGTTAACTTTTTATCACATTTGTATTATTCTCTTCCTACTCTTTCTCAGCCTGTGTGTACACACACACACACACACACACACACACACACACACAGTTTTTCTAGAAAAAAACATTGAGACTAAGTTGCACCTAAATAATTCCCTGTGTATTTCCTAAAAATAAGGACATCTCATGGTACAATGTTCTT